TGCCTAATACTTCAGCCGGCGACAGGATAGGGTTCTTATTCCTACCGCTAGCAACTATGTCGCCACCGTCATCGCGGAGTTCTCGGCTCAGGGACCAGGAGCCTTAAATCGATAAATGATTTTAATTTTTTAATGCTAATATTCATCCTATTTAAAATCACTGTAAAGAATTTACTGTGAAACGCTTTACTTCAGCCGGGGTTTGAATCTGCTCTCAATCCGCGACGGGTGTCTTTACCAATTCGACCACCGAGGCATGTATTTTAAAATTCAAATTCCCGATTAATCAACCGGAAGATTTTAAGCAGATTGCGGTGGAGAGAAATCGCGGGGCGGATTTTTTATTTTACTTTTTGGGTTTGGCTTCTCTTTAACAAGAGCGTCGCGTAAAAGGTATTCCTTACCTCGGGAAACATTCCTCCTTCTTTTTCGCGATTTATCAGCGAGGCTGTCTTCCCTGTCGCTGTAGCGCTTCACGGAAGATCCTGTGTCTGTTCGATCGCGATCGTGATCTGCCGTGCGAGGCCGTGCACCAAACTTTAGTCTCTCCGTCCGTTTACTCCGCTTCCTCCTCCTCCCGAGAGACCTCGGCGCGATTCTATCTTCGCTCGCGTGAATGTCGGAATTACGCGCTTTTTCGCGAGCCGAGTATAACTCGGCTTCGCGTGACTTATTATTACTCTTGACATCCGGTGACTCCTCGGTCTCCTCGGTGTCTTCAATGCTACCTTGTCTTCGTGGGAAATTCTAAGATGTCGAATAGCGAACTCAGTGTAATAATACATTTTTCGTTTGATTTTAATAATTTTCCCGCTTCTTGGCTCTGGCTTTGTAAATAATAAACGGCAAACAAATAAACTGCCGGCTGTCGTGGGATTTATCAAATTAATTGTTAATTAAATTGACATGACGTGGCTGCGTTTCGACAGACGGATAAAATACGTATCGCCAGTGAATTAATCATTCATTCCTTTTTAATTGAATATTAATTATACATAAATGTGTACGACTGCGAAATGGTAGCAATTTGTAATTTATGATTGACCATGTCTAATTAAATGATTACCGTGTCAATTAGATTAATTAGTCGCGCAAATTACGCTAATGACGCTCTTTAAACTACATTAAATTTTAATTCCCGTCCCGTCAAACAATACTGACTGTTGTGATTTCTCGGCCGTAGGGTCGGCTCGATTCTTCCGAGCTGCTCCATCGTTTCTGCGACGGCGTGCCGCCGCGTTTCGCAAAGCTGTCGTGCTCCATATCGCGAACGGAAGCTTCATCCTCGCTGTCGTTCCGTTGGAGCTGTTCATCGATCGCCGTAGATCTTCGTTCGCGAGAAACTCGACTTCCGCGTGTCATTTTAGGACGCTCCGAGGCATCAGTCGTCGTCAGCAAGTTATTCTCCCGTCAACTACCGTCCCTGCGATTAATTTCAAACACCATACACGAGTCCCGGGAATTTTCTTTCAAAGTATCTGCACAGTGTGAAACTATTATCTATCGGAAAATTATCTGTTTCCCTTGAATGAATTTATCTGTTTAATAGTTCAACTTCGCAGCTGATCACTACAGGGCGAACCATCGCGAGGTGTCCATAGTAACGCTTTGTTGTGCTTACAAAGCTCTGTGACGACCAGTCTGAACGATATTTCAAGTCAAGTGAGATAGAGTAGGGATTAACACACACAAACAATTCGCAATTTTATTTATCAAACATATGTGACAAATATATCAGTGAGAAGAATATTTATAGATTGCATTACTTTATTTTAGGAAACAGAACATTTTTAACAATACATGTTTAAGAAATTCCTGCCAATTTATTATAATGACTGGTAGAATTTTCACAGCATCTGTACAACATACATAAAATGTTTACAAAAATTAATTTTTCTTTAGTGCTAAATACTAAATAAAACTTAAGACAGAAGAATCTAAGTAATTACATTAAAATAATTCCTTACTTTATTAAAATAATAATTTACATCCAGTTTTATTTAGTTTTAACTTAAGATACTATATTAATAAGTCCTTATAGAATTTCTAAATCACAATGTCGTATTTCTGGATGATTTTTCTGAAAATGAAAACAGATGAACAATTATTATGACTTTTCATTACTGTAGATTTATATATTATTACATATTATTGCATAAAACGTATATTTGTTTACCTTTAATTTCAATTCTATTCTATCAATTTCTCCACCAAGCATGTCTACGATATTTTCGCCGTGTTTCAATAAAAATGCTTCTAATTCATCTATATTTTGCATACCTTTCACTTCCTATAAAAATATTTGAGGCATTTGTTGATATATTATATTATTAATTTCCATAAAAAATATAAAATCCATACCTCCAGCATTGCAATAAGATCATGCTTATCTAGGTAAGATCTCGTGAGCTCTCGACCGTCAAAATCCAGTTCGGCTTTATATCTCACTAGATTATTACCCATATCGATGCCTTTCACATCATGAATTGCACGAACCTGAAACGTAAAATAAAAAGTTTAAACGCAAGAATCAGCATTAAAAAAATTGATTGAATATTGCACATAGTTGATTTCAAGATCAATGTTACCATTATGTCCGCTTCTAATTCGGCGTTAATTTTATCGAGATTCTCTTGCGATATACTCCTTCCTATGAGCGCAGCAACGTTAGAGTAGATTATAAAGGACGCCACTCCACCGAGTAGTCCGCCAACCAAAAGCGAACCAGTAGCGTCGAACATCGGATTTTCTAAGTATGAAGTCAAGCCCATACATCCAGCTGCGACAATGACTCCAATTACCTAAGAATGACACAGGAATCTCTCTGAGTGCAAATAAAATATTTGAAGAAAGTAAACAAAAAAGACTACTTACAGCTGCAAAGTCTTCCATGAGTACGACGTTCACGGATGGATCCTGCCCTTCCAGAATGAACTGTTTAACACTCTCCTTTTTTTCCTCCGCGCCTCTCTTTATGGAGTGTAATGCTATCATTAAGGTCGCCCCTTCGGATAACAGGGACCCACCCAGGACGAAGTACGCCCAAAAGAGAGAATCTAATGGCGCGGGAAAAAGAAGACCGTGAATTCCGTGATAGATGGAAAGACCCGTACCAACACAAAAGATTCCCACGCCCGATATCAACGAGGAAACGTACTTCATGTTTGTGTAACCGTACGGGTGGTCGGGATTAGGATTCTGCAAAATAATGTGCACGAAGCAAATTAAGCACGGAAGAGATTATTCGCACGAGTGATTTATTTACCTGCACCGATTTATGAATACCGTACGCTAGAATCAGCTGATTGCAAGTATCCGCCGCAGAATGTACACACTCGGAAAACATACTGTGCGAGCCAGTGTACAACCAAGCGGCTAACTTGCACAAGAAATTGCTGGCATTTCTAAAAAAGCGAGAAATTAATCGAGGAAATGCACACAATTGCAATTACGCCTAAATTCAATACGTACATAGCAATCGCAGTCAATACGACTTTGCCAGATCTCCCAAAAAGACCCTCCTTCTGAATTATCTCCGTCTTGCTGCCGATCTCCCGTCTGTAATCTCTCAATCTCCGCTTGACCGTAAAAACATCTGCGACGAAAAGCTTGTGTTTCAATCTTTGTACCAATTATTATTCTACTAAAAGGATAGTTCCTATCAGGATATACGTGAATCCTGTAAGACAAACAGTCTCTAAGCACAGATATTCTGTCTCGAGGTGTTCTCTTTTATAGGAACAATCACTTTGAGTTAAACCAACAGACAACTAGCAAGTATACGATATGCATATTTACTTTGCTGATAGATCTTCCGCTCAACTTCCTTCTTTAGGAGTTCCTTCAGCAAAGCTTCTCTGGATCCCCAGACTTCTAGAGCTCTATATAAAAAAGGCAGAGCTTTAAAATATTTAATTTCTAATTTTCCACGATATACTCAAGTACACATTGTAGAAACTTATTGCGTTCTCTTACTTAGCCTCAACATCTTTCCTCCAATACACTGTGATAGGCGGTTCAAGTTCATACGGGGAACGTCTTTTTGTTTTCGGCAAAGTCTCCAAATCAGACGGCTTCAACAAAAAGTCCGCCATAGCTCTCACGGGGGTGATGAAGTTCCGTTCCAAGGAAGATGTCGACTTGTCGACTCTGATTTTCTTTTTCGCTGCAAACGCAGACGAATTAGTATTTACAGTAATCCTAGTTTAAATCAGTACTCATTGCTGTACCTTTCTTCGACGCGGCATCATCTTTCAGTGGCTCTTTGAATTCCGCAGACTTCTTCTCAACAAGCTTCGCCGCCTGGCCCTTTCCCACCTCCTTTTCATCAGAAATAACTGGCTCTATGTCTAATACTCTCTCCTTTAACTTGCCCAACTTCTCTTCATTCAATTCTATTATTCTCTGCTTAACCTCGTTGGCTAGCTTCACTTCGGACCCATCTTTATTAGACTTTGCGTCGTCGGAAAATCTGGCCGCGCAGGTCCATCTACAATCCCCGTGCCTGCCTGTCTTTCTGTTAGCAAAAACCTTTTGGGAATTGGAAAACGCGTGTACTTTGTATCGCGTACCATACTTGGGAACTATTAGAACGCTGGCGTGTCGTTTAATCAATCCAATGTGGAATGTGCACAGTCGATCGGCATGGTACCGGCACGTTACGTTACGAATGAAGCTGACAAGATTATGGGGCCGATGCAACATCCTCGTTTTCTCCCCTTTTTCCTCTCAGTCTCGGACACGCATCACTTAACCTATAAAGGGGCAAATCGATTTAAAAGGTGCCACTCTCAGAAATCAAGAGAATTTTTTTATGATTGCAAAAGATAAGAAAACGGTGTAGTATCATGTTCGTAAAATTGTACACAAAAAATGTAACGTGCTGGGGAAATGTCTCTTGCAAACGCTCACCTTTTCCGTCTGTCAAGACAGTTCGCTACGCAACGGACACATTGCTGCACAGCTGCAAGATGTTACGCTATAATGATACAGCGAGGTTTACAACCGGTCTGTTCTAATATAAAGTAATTATCTAATGACAGAACGACGCAATGTCAATAATAGTCAATATTATATTTGCATGGACATGAAAGAAAAACAAGTAACGCTGCCGTGTGGATGCGCAATGGACGACCACTCAGAAACTCTGATTCCTCGTCAAAGAACATACAGGGTGAATCTTAGCTGCTGTACCAGCTTTTTACCGTGAGAGATGGATTACCGACTGCAACTTTAGTTCACTGAACGGCACGAGAGGGCAGCTGCTTAGATCTCAGGGCTGTTGCAGGCAAGTTGAAAACTTGTTCCACTCACAGACATCACGCGGAGAAAAATAATTTGCTAGCACAGTATACCATATGTAAATTTAAGTAAATTTTGTCTGTTATTTTATAATAAAGTTATTTTCTCTTTTATGGTCAACTCTGTGTTAAGAACACTAATTTTATTGAAAAATAATTGTGCGAAATATTTAGCTAAAGAAATAAAAGAATTTCTGTTCAGTCAAACGTTCTGCTGTAATGGTGAATAATTTTAATAATGTGTAATAAAGAAATTTTCGTATCGCCATCACATTCTTATCAAATACATATGCAGTATTCAAGTAGCAGCAACAATTTCGCTGCAGAACGTTTGACTGAACAGAAATTCTTTTATTTCTTTAGCTAAATATTTCGCACAATTATTTTTCAATAAGATTAGTGTTTTTAACACATAGTTGTCCACAAAACAGAAAATAACTTTATCATAAAATAAAAGACAAAATTTACTTAAGTTTACATAAGATATACTGTGCTAGCAAATTATTTTTTCTCCGCGTGATATCTGTAAAGCCTTGTGTCCACGATCCAAGAACTTGGTTCAAGTTCTAGTTTCGAGAAATGTGTAGCCAATCAACCTGCAGCTATTCCATAAAAGCTGCAAGGTGATTGGCTACGCATTTCTCGGAACTAGAACTTGGACACAGTTCTTGGATCGTGGACACAAGGCTTAAGTGGAACAAGTTTTCAACTTGCCCGCAACATCCCTGAGATCTAAGCAGCTGCCCTCTCGTGCCGTTCGGTGAACTAAAATTGCAGTCGGTAATCCATTTCTCATGGTAAAAGGCTGGGGCAGGCATTAAGATTCACCCTGTATATGTATGTGTGTTCCCTGCGATGTATACATGGCACTTGTCAAGCCAAAGTTGAAACAGTCAAAGAGGAACTGAATCATGGACGTTGGTCAATCAAAAGACACGGACGCGCAGTTTATATCCTTCCACGATTTCCCAACGATAAGTCACGCTGGCAACGCCGACGGACAGCTGGGCACCGGGGCTTCCACCCACGAGCCCTTCCATAACCTTCCAAATGATTCGTTGGGTGTCGGCATTGTAGAAGATTTACAAGGAATCCCCGATAAAACCGAAGGTTTGAGACATTGACATCTCGGGGGAACTTCTTTCTGTTTCTTGCAGGCAAATGTATATGGTGATTTAAACGGGAGTATGTCGTTTACTAGATACTGCCCAACGCAGCTTCTGGACGATCGAGTATTACCAAAAGTTTTTCAACGTCAACACGAGTGACGTGTTGGAGAGGCTCAAGCGATCGATGATACCGCACGGTAGCGACAATTATCTTTTAACGCACATAAGGCCGAATCCAGACCTGTATGGGCCCTTCTGGATATGCGTGACTCTGGTGTTCTCCATCGCGATCAGCGAGAACATGGCCAACTATTTGCAGACCGCTAGTTCCACCAAGTACCACTGGAGATACGACTTCCACGTTGTGTCGTACGCGGCCACTTTTATATTTTTATATGCGTGGATTCTACCGTTAGCCCTGTGGGGCGCGTTCAAGTGGACCAACAGTTCGAGGAACACCGAGGAGGAATTGATCGAGGTCTGCAACCAAGTATTATTCTTCCGCTTTGGCTTCCAAATATTATTCGTCGTCGTATAAATATTCGTTTTACAGTCCTACGCCGTCCCGGGACTCTTGGAACTTTTGTGTCTGTACGGATATTCCTTGGGCATTTACATCCCAGTAGCCTTTCTGTGGGTAATTCAAATCGGTTGGTTGCAATGGAGTCTAGTCATATTGGTGACAAGTTTGTCCGGTGGCGTTTTACTGCGATCATTGTTACCCGTAATCGCAGGTGAGAGAGATAAGCACTGTCTGCAAAATAATAATTTATAATCTTTAAAGTATGTAGAAAATATGTGAATAAAACTCTGCCTCGGATAAGTTAATCTAGCGAGAGCAGAATGTGACCGACTGAAATAAATATAGATTAAATAATTAATTTTACAGGGAAACATAGAATTATATATGTCGCTGTAATTCTGGGTATGCATCTGCTGTTGGCAGCTGGATTCATGCTATATTTCTTTCACGTGCCATCTAAGAGCACTGTGTCAACCGTGACTGAATTGATAGCATCCTCTACGCAGGCCAACGTGTTGCATAAAGTAGCGCAAACGAACAGTTCTGTTGTCGAGCCGACGGCATCTTGAAGCATCGAAATGCGAATCTGCTAACAATAGAATTATCTCCAAGGCAATTGGGAAAATTTGTTTATTCGTGTGTGTATGTCGGATTTCATTTAAAATATTGCCTCCGATTTATATGTATATCAATCAAAATATATACAGCTGATATGGCGTTAATCGTGTAAAAGTAATATTTATACTGTAACTATGAGATAAGGTAAGAATAAAGAATATTCCATACCTTAGGTATATCACTACGATAAAAAAGGTGAATCCCCCGCTCCGGCTAAACGTTTGTCAGGACGATAATAACACATTTTTCCTCTGGATAAATGAGGGAATTAGTTTTCCCATGTATAATTAAAATTGACCGGTTTTCAGGGCACTGATAAGACCGATGAAGTGTCTGGTTGATTTATTTCACAGCCCTACTGCAATATAGGGGCGCGTTACATCAACGCAACACATATCATTTACAATCATACGAAATAATCTCCACGACGTTGTACATAATACGTGATCGCGCGGTATTAGTACTTATAATACAATAGATTATTACATTATTAATCGTACATAATTCATTAGTATCTTGTTCGCGTTTACCAATGTGACAAAAGGCAACATTCATTTTGTAGTTGTTATCGTTAATGTTATTATCGTCGGTGTATTTAATATAATATACCATGACAATAGTAATTCACTCGCCGTTGCGGTAGAAATGCGCGTGATCGCAAGACAATTTGTGTCGGTATGCCGATGAATATTGTACGTGCTACTTGCAGCGATTTCGAGCCTCGAAAAGAAATTTCCAAGCCTCGACGGGAACTGAGGCCCTCCCTCGCCGATAACACGCCACGAATTGACAGTCCGCAAGGAGAGAACTCGATGTGGCTCGAAAACTAATTTTTGAAAATCATGGGCTCTGCGGAATATATCGCTACGCCGAAACGAGGATCATCTCGGTGAGATTCGCCTGCAAGCCTTGTCGATGTAAGCGTCGTATGTATAAAATACAAGAGAATTCCACGGGGAAAAGCCATAGAATTGCACACGAAGTCGAGCACCTGTCGCACGGGACTATTTTCAACTGTACACACACAACACACACATTCTCTCTCTCTCTCTCTGGCTGTAATAAAATTCTATTTTCTCCGCAAAGTGTGGCTCGTGCTGCAACAGTGGGCAAGTTAAAAACCTCGAACACCACTTTTAAGAGACATCAGACGTCGTTACTTGCGTCGGATTAAATCTTGGACAACTAAATCTACTTTCTCTATACATATATTACGCAGAATATGTATATCATAGCTAACGCGCTATGTGATCTATCAAGAGACATTTATCTTATACAAGTTATATGAACGAGGAATCGAATTTTGCAACTTGGCAAGGAGAAGGCCAAACTCAGTTTATGTCGAGGTACACGACGACGTCTTCCCAGTAAGCATCGACTCTTATAGCTACGTAATATCAACATTAATATCTCCTACTCGACAATCTAACTGTTATGTACAACGTGTGTTACATTACATTTATATTGTTGAGTGGGAAATTATAATATTGCTGTTACCCCTCATGGAAAAATTTTGCTGAAAATGTAATGAAATTGATGAAAAGTGAAATGAAAGTTATTGGAAACTTGTTGAATCCATTTCAAAATAAATCATAAGTTTCGTTATGAAATTCAATGAAATACTGTGAAATTAGATGAAAGTTAATTAATATTACTAAAAATTAGTGAAAAATTTTAGAAATGTTGTATATTATGAAATTTGCAGAATTTCACTGAAAATAAATTTTTTAATGAAAAATTGCTGAAATGATATTGAAATTGGGTCAATTGCAAGAGAATTCGGCAAATTTCATTACGTTTTCAGCAAAATTTTTCCATCAGGGACGTGACTGTTAGTTGACTTACTGGGTTTCTCCTTTTTTCTCTCTCTCTCTCTCTCTCTTTTCGCAAAGTGATAATAATGGGGTGCTCGACGGTGCGGAGGCTGTAACGGTGTTGAAGTTTACAGCTAGTGCTCACAACGACATTGGTCCGACGCGTTTACGAGATATTGCAGTCACAGATTGCGAATAGGCAGGAACGATAATAATTAAGAAATCTACGACGGTAATCCTAATACCGAGTTGCCGTTTCCACTTCTCTTTCCCCCCCCCCACCCCTGTTCCGCTAACAATAAGACGCTTTCGACGCTGCACACGCGACGCATTGCTTTCTCTCCCTGCTCGTCCCCTTTCCTTTTATGATCCCCAATGATACATTTACAGTAGCGCGTGCTCGTAATACGAAATAACGCCGTCGTTTATTTACAATATAGTATCCGCCCCGCCGGGCGTTGTTATAATATACGATAGTTGTTTCGTTCGCCATTACGACGACCGGTAGTCGCCCGCGTGTCGTATATGAATCCCGTCGCGTTTCAACGTATTACATATACACATATTAAGACGTACCCTGGTTTTTAATCAATCGTTACAATATAGGTGTGTATAACAGTGCCTGCAAACGATGTGCTTGTTTTATACAATATCGCCCCGCTGCACGCTGTACAATCCGCAGATGCACAGCGAACCGACGTCGCGTAAAGCGAGCAGGTCCTTTACTAGCGAACTATCTATTTACGAGCATATTATGTATACTACCAAACCCCTTCTTCTATTACAGTAATTTCAGAATGATTATTCAGTCGCATACTTAGTCAATAGTTATGTACTCTGATTCACGACAACGTATTGAACTCGGGGGGAAACTTGGTGACAACGAAAGCTGGACGGCCGCATCTCGCGGGGTCTCAATTGACACGCAGCCTTGCGTTGAATTTCTAATGTGAACTGCAACGTGACGAAACGCAGAGAAAATTATTCAAATTAATCGTGAAACGTTTTATCGTTAGAACGTTCATTCCGGCAGTTCTTCGAATTGTAAGACGTACGCTGTTTCAGCGTAAGAAGGAAACAATTAAGTTTGAATCTAATCAAACTCGAAATACATAATTAAATGTAAATCGGTGACTTCGCGGAACTTTCATTTCTACCGCGTGCAAATTCGACACGTGTGTGTCCGAGGCTCGGAAAGACATTTATAGGTTTTACAAAATTTTAAAAGCGCTGGGAACTTTCTCTGCTATTGCTCTTGGCTGCTGCTACATCGCTCGATTTGTAATGTTGTGCCAGTCTTACGCGTACATGATTTAATAAAAGGACTCCCGTAGTTAACAGATGCATTAGACCGAGGAAACGTTCAAAGCTGTTTAATTCTTTACCAAAGTTTTAAAATCCGGATATACTGCATCAATTAGGAAATTGCTTCAAAACCAACGTAATTGCGAATAATAACAAGCTGCCAAGTTCTTATTTGAACTCGAATGGATTTGTGATTTGGGAGACGTGAGAGGCGTTACAGGCGACAAACTCTGTCCGTGTAATCTATAATAATACAGGACTTAGCCGATATAAGGAGAGAAGTGGATATACACTGTTACATAGATTTCGTATCTTTCAAAGATCTACTTATCTCGTAAAGTCGATATCTGTGCTCGCCGACACGTTAATGTAGATTGTAGCGTAAAAACCCTAACGATCCTAACAGATCCTAACGATGGAAAACTATGGAGCTTACGGCGACAAATGTATCTTACAAGCTTAACGTTTAACATCCTACAGATCGGTTCCCGTACGCGGACGTTTATCCCGTGTGAGTTTTTAAATGCCCTACGACTTTATCGAATTCACAATCAATTCTATAGCTTGGAAGTAGGGCAGGGGGAAGGTATATTATCGGTAGAAAAATCGTGCCGCCTTGAAACCAGCACAAATTTAATTCCCAAGCATTCTCTTGAAACTTCGATGTGGATACGAACGAGGGTGCTAAAGCCACAGAATCACATTGGTCGATCTAGAGTACCTGGATTGGACTATTGATATTTTAGACGTCATGCGACAGCACAGAGAGAAGTACGGAACAAAGCGAACGCTGAGACACACAAAGTACCAATCTCTAATCGCTAATCACGTTTATCTGCGCTACTGGATTCGATGCAGTGTCATATAAAAAGGGACGACTCGAGCTTCACGCCTAAGCAAAAACACTCGTCCATGTATTACAAACGCGAGGCTTCTTTTGATCGACGTCACATTTTGATCACTTTCTTTCGGTAAAACGATTACTTTGATTGCGTACTTAGACGTATTACATAGAACAGGTACGTAAGAGTTAAACACTTTTTCCCCACCCTCCTATCTCCCCGTCTGGAAAGCTTCTAATTGCCGTGTTGCTGTGCTATCCGATAGCACCCGAGCGGTCGACTTTTCACTGATGCGACAAGCTGAGGCTTAGGCGTATTATACTACTATTTCAGTTCTTAAAAGTTGCGAATATCGTGATAATTGACGTTTACGTTGGAGCAGAAAATCAAGGATTTCGCCGTTTTATGTCAACCTTAAGCTGGCTCCGCTCGGTTCTCCTCGTTTGAAAATGAGCAAAATCCGGCCTTAAGAAAATCGCCCATGAGAAAACGGCGCTCTTCCGTTCTGTCGGGAACAATGCTTCCGTTATCGCGAACGCAAAGAAAAACCTCGTGTCCAAAGCAGGGGACGCTGGAGAAGAAAGAAACAAGATAACAAGATACAAAATGTTTCGCTTATTCGACTCGAACTTTACCAACGGGGGGGGAAAAATAGTACTTTTAACTCAGCAAAATGAATTTACAGAAACATCTCGTGAAACGTGGGATGAAACGTGAGGCGTGGTAGAAAGTAACGATAGTTCGGCGATTGCAGGATATTTTGTTGGCGCACGCTGAATATCATCGGTGGAGACGGGAGCTTTTGAGTACGTAGTCGGGACTATTTAATTAAAAAAAAAAAAAGAATAATAAGAGAGTGCGCTTAACACTACACAACTCAGTTCACAGATTGCCCGCGGGCATCCGCATTTATTTACGAACTAAGACACAGTGATGTCTGTACCGCTGCTGTATACCCGATTGTTAATTAGTCAAATGTATTTCTTTATTTTTCTTCTCATCTTTCTACTCTGTATTCATTCTCTCTCTCTCTCTCTCTCTCTCACGTATTTTTTAGGTTGCATAATAATTCAAATACACTTGCGCGACTCCGAGCTACAACGGAGCCTCATCGATCACCTTAAGCATTAGTCTTTAGTGTTTGATTATTATACTACAGTAATATACAGAAAACCGTGGCTCGCGCCGGTCATTCGCCCGTTCTTCACTCCGCGTCCCAGTTGACCCCCAACCGAGGTCGGCGGCCCTTCCGGTGGGACCACGCGACGAGCGGGCGAACGACCGGGACGGTGATCAATATATTCGATAATTACAATACACTAAATATAATCGGCTCGTGTGTGTGTGTATTAAAATATAAATATCAAATGGACCTCTCGCGCCCACAGGATATATGCACCTTAATGTCGATGCGCGACTTAAAAAATTCAGAAACGCTCTCTATAGTTGTCAAGTCGTCACCGATTGTTAAAATCCCTATTATCGGAAGAGCGAGGAACTCGCGACTGCCGATGGGCGCCTCAAGATCGGCCAAGTGATCGTCGGTCTCTCCTCCCTTTTTCACTTTTATCCTCCGCACCTGCGGTTGCCGTTTCTCGACAGTCACGAGCTACATCGCGACGAGATTAGAATTTTTTGGTAGCTTAGACATACGTTCGGTGTATTATTTTGCCAAATGTTACGCCGCATCGATCGAGAGTCGGAATTTTCTCTCTCTATATCGAATTTCTCTCTCCCCCCCCCCCCCGATACGGCACGTCGGATATTATTAACGTTAATCGCGCGGATTAAATGCAGTCATTATTCGTCAAACAAGAGTATCCAAATTCGAAAATTTTTATCAGAGAAGGTTTACTCGTCCCGATGGATATATCCGCCGTAACTCTCGCTTATTGTCAATGAAGAAGCAGACGATCCCGTTCTCAGTCGATGTGACGATATTAACAACGTGGCGGCCGACAGAAATTACTCTACACTACGCATACTTTTCTTTTTCTGTTAAACAATATGTTTCAGTACTAACATTCGTCGATGACGTCGATTCGACTTCGTGCGCAGAGTATTACCGAGGCCAAACTAAATCTACGCTTTGTACTCTGGTCGACCTCCGGAATAATCCGTCGCACGTACACAAGCTTCGTTATGTAATATGTATAATATTTATAGTAGTGGATGCAATATTTATAATATATATGCATGTATGTATATTCACATTTGTTTATTATCTATGTATAGATGCATGCATATATAATTACATATATACTTTGCAATATACATACATAATTATACATGTACTTTTAAACGAGCAACCGCACACGATACACACCTGTCGAGTGCCCGAGTACGGATCAGCACGAACACGATCCCGAAGAGGGTTGACATTCAGCGATGTCGGTATCGCGATAACGCAAGGCACGCTCTACCTAAGTCTATTCTAAAGCCCGTAATTCCATTATACTTTATAGTAACTATGTTTCTGCTGAAGACACTAATTCTACATTGCTTTAATTTGCATATCAATGCCAATTATTTTCATAACTCTCTCGTGTAAATTATGAATAAAAATACATTGCCAGAGACGTAAATGTAAATGTCAAATATAAAGAAATTTCGAAGCTCAGCCAATAATTGAGACACATTGATGTATTGATGGCAGATTAGAATGGAATAACTTTTTTACGAAGGTGTACCTCGCGACTCGAATTTATTGTATCTGCTACAATGAGCAACGGGTTGATTGTTCAACAGTAGCCGATTGCTCAATTAATTGACCGATGTGTAATTGCAAACGGAAACGGATTACTAAGCAAATTCGCAGCACAATTTCGTTTCCCTAAATTTGGAGATGACAGTCGTAAAGAGGCGAACATTTAACATCTCGTTTACATTATAATGTCACAAATTACCTCGGATGAAAACGTTCAAGTTCGTGTTAGGCTATTCGTGCTTAGATATTTTCAACGTGATACCGTTCGTGGCACTACGACGGGCCTGCAAAGAAGCGGGCCACCACATACGCAAGCGGAGATGGTTCTGGGTTCGAATTATAATATCTTGAGAGACTCGGGGAAGCCTCGAAAGCTCAAAAACGCTCTATACACTATTATTAATCGTAGTTTAGAAACTTCACTTTACTCGTCACTTCGGACGATCAATTAGGGTTACTATACTCTTGGCGTATGCATGTACATGTGGTCCAAAGAGAGATCCACGTCGCAGGAGGAGCTAGAAACGCTGATAACGTCTCCTGGCTTATCTCAAACCAAATGACAATTTCCATCATCCCCAGACACGTTCGCACGCCTCTAAATGTACCCGCGACGTGGATCCCTCGTGATGTGTGTTTGCGTGATGTTCGTCGTTCGTGTAAGAGAAAGAGATTTGGCAGATAGTAAATGTTAATCGATGACTTTAACAATTAATTTATTCGGCAACGTACTTGTCTGTAAGTTTGCGTTGTATGTATGTATGTATGAATGAATGTCGCGTATAACAATTATCGCATATATCGATATAATAATTCATTAGTAAGGCAACGCTACGAAAATTCTTCCCTAAAAGAAGTTTGAATACGCGCGCGATCGTAGAGAATTGTATTCGACCCTATTTCTGATAATTGAGGCTCGCATTCGTGAATCATGTTTAATACTAAAAATCGCACACACAGACTCGGTTATCTTAAGATTTTCCTCAACACAGGACAGATAAAACTTAAGATTAAACAAAAAATTTAGTATTAAGCGCGCGATAAATACAGGCCTGAATTGCTTCGTAAAATCAGTCTAAAGTTAACCATTGAAAGTTATAATGTCCTAACAAATTAATTCAAGTAAATCTAGATGACAATTGGGTGCGTAAATATAAGAAATTTCGATTACCACGTTGGAGATTATCGAGTATAATCGGAAACGTAATTGATCAATGCTTAAACTAAAGGAATTCACGGTAATCTGTACGATATAGGCCCGGTTTCACCAACGTTGTTTAACTTTAAGCTCAGCTTACTTCGTTCTTTGCCTCTTTCCAAATGTTACTTTAGAAGAAAACAAATACGGATTAAACTAAGGTTCAAGTTAAACGATGTTTGGTCAAACCGGGCCTTAATGTCGAAATAAATGTTATAACGACGCGTCAATAATTATGCAACTTGCGCGTTATCACTACTCATCGTAGTACAACTAAAATACACGAAAGAGACGTGCATTCTACACACAGTACAAATACGTAGCGTAGACATATGCTTTTGTCGACAAAGAGCAGCAAGCTCAGCTTATAATCGTATATAGAGGTCGAAATAAGACGGATATATATTTACTTCTGTGCCTCTGTTATAATTTGTCCCGGTTTTATGCCGATTATCCTTAATTTCAATGGCTAGAGGGATCGTGCCTAGATATAATAAGTAATAAAGAAACGAATACTGTCCATTTCACACCAAGTGTAGTTAAAATACGGGCTTTGCACGCCGTTGGATACTAAAAGAGACGACGCTTTCGGCCCCTCAATGTATGTACGTACCAAAACATGTGGAGAGACTCGAAAAAGCCAAGAATGGGCTGCGTTTGTAAAAAAAAAGAGTCCCCTAATTACGCACGTACCTCTCTTGTTTTGATTCTACAAATATGAGTGTAAAGATCAATCTCTATCTGGTCCAATGCACGAACGATCCTGCGACTAAGAGTTCGTGAATCGTCCTCTACGTTACGAGGAAGAAGGAGTCTAAAAACGTTCGATTTGTAAAACACCAAATTCGCTATCGACTCGTGTGGAGAGAAATATTTTCCATGCCAAAAGAACAATACGCCTAATCAGAGGAGTTGCCTACGTTAGCCACGCGAAGATGAAACTCGTAAACGGCCAGAGGATCTAAACAACCATGTGTCTACACACGAGGGTACTCTCTTTCTCTCTCTCTTTTCACCTATGACTAATCTTTATAATACAGCATTATGCGTAAATCGATAAACGTATATAGTACAAGTCCCACCGTTGATTATTATTTGCCGTTACATTACCATAGTATAATAGTGAACATTTAAGAACATCGAAGAACAGTCAGATAATGAATCTCGTCGCTTCCTACTTTATAATTATCCGCGCGACAGACTATTTATTCCTTGCTTCTCTAATCGGACTTCATTTATCTTAGTAACGACAACTTTTAGAATTCCCTACGATTATAACTTCAATAATTACACTCCGCGTCGAATCAAATTTCAAACATTTTAAATTTCAGATGTAAATACACGATTTTTAAACACCACTTCTTTTGAACGTTGAATATGTAAATGTAATATTAGATCTACGTGTAGATTCTCTAACAAATTAAACATTTCGGAATAACAGTAGATACGTTTCAGAAGACATTCAATCGAATATATTCAAGTAGACTCGAGTGATTCGCAAGGTAATACGTAGCGTTCGATATAATTTGATAATGAACTCGATTTACCGGCTAAGCTGAATGATGTTTAGCTAACAATTGTCTAATACTCGTAAATGCGGTCCGATTACGACGAGCAGTCTAGCAAATAGAGACCGAGAGAACCTAAGAAGGAGAAACGTTCAATAACTTACGGAGCACAGTACAATATCAATCCTCTATTAACTCCAAAAATATGTTATTCTTTCCTATGCTTTAAATATAGCTACATATCTATCTCTCGTGAGAGTCAATGTTACTTTGTTTACAGTGATAATAATAATTTTTATACGAACTGTCCGTATAACGCGATGAATATTATAATCCTAACTCCACAATGAAATTGTAAGCCTGCCCCCTTATTCTATATTCTTTTTTTCTTTACCGTTTTTTCTTTACCGTTTCACCGTATATTTACACGAATATCTTTCCACGCTAAGCACACCCAAGCGTTTTCCCGATTTTGCATCATTTTGCATAAATAATCCGCGGCCGGTGCACAAAAAAATATACTGATCGCCTCCGTCCCTTCCTCTCATCACAAGCTCGTTAACATTGAGACCACCAATTTCTGCAATCGGGTAATTTCAATATCAAATCAAGCCTCAGTCCTCGGGCGATCGTTCGCGATCCAGTAAAATTTTTCTCCCCACCGGCGCGGAACCGACTCGGAGATTCTACGTTAAATAAATCTTATTATCGGACACACTTAATCTCATCACTTTAGGCACTACATCTAAGACTAATATATCACTCCCCCACCACGGATGCAATAAGAAAAACATACGTACATATTCCAAAACGATTAAAAGAACTAGATACCTATTTCTAATATGTGTCGTTACACTAACGAAAGGAGTAAACGTTACGATTGCGCACGACCGCGTGTGCGCGAGCGGTTGAGTACATTACAATTTTGAAATTTATCAGTTGTCGCTTTTAGATCGATGCCAATCACACGACCAACGCATAAACCTGTTTCGTATCGCGGGGAAATTTGCCGGTCGCACAATTCTAATGTGAAATAGTTTCTAAAGTACACAGAACGTTGAATTTCCTTAAATGATACTCCGAAGGCTGCCGAGGTGACAAAAGGAAACATCCGTGAAAGTTCATGCGATATAGCTTAGACTTCGGAATTAAAAAAGAGGAATCGCCCTATTCGGTCATCATGAATTACTTTTACTGCAGCAACGTTCGATCTCCCTCCCGCGTATAATCAATGTATTAAGATTAGGATATTCCTATATACTTTGTCTCGCGATATATATACATACATACGTATATAGTATATATATGTGTGTATGTACATATGTATGTATATGTATATATATTTATATATATATATGGTCGGGCACGCGAGAGAACCCGTTCAAAGTTAACTGCGCACGACTATCAGCATTATAATAAAATATCACAACTATATAGAACCATTGATACAGTTACGGTATCTTTTACTTAACTTTCCACACAGCGTTTTATAGCGTCTCTACTTCTTTTTACTTAGGTAGTTTTGTGTGTTTGTATGTATGTGTATGCGTGTGTATATGAGCGTGTTTTTTTTCTTGTTATTTACATCGTGTAACGTTAAAATGACCATAAAAATGCGTTAACGTGACTCGGAGAGCACGCGTTGACCGACGATCGACTCCAGAAACTCAAACGGAACGGTACAATACAAGTCAGTACAATACGGAAATCAGGTCGACCTAAACAAAGTGGTCCGTGCGCGTTTTGTACCCTTAAAATACGTCGATATGTCACCCGGCTAAAATGCCACCTGCGTGCCCACCACCCTGTCCCTCCGCCACGTGGTCTCCTCCTCACGTGGATGCTCGACGAAAACGGTAATATGACTACAAACGCCGTTCCGATCGTCCCGTTATTGTTATCTCTCGAAAAATCGTCAGCCAAAGCCTGCTCGTGAAAAAGAAAGCGTGACTAAAGTCATCGTCGATCTAGTATAACGCGCGCGAACTTATGCGGGGTGACGGGATAGATGGGGGATGAGACTTATCGCTATCGCGTGGTATGACTACTCGGCCGCGCGCGTACCACGTGCGCGTACACGAGCACGTGCCAGACGTGCGCGCACGTCCTTACGCGCGCCCGACGCCAGAGAGACCTAAGGATATGACTCGACTCATGTTCTCCTCTCGCGACTGCTCGCGCGGAGGGCGCAGTTACGGTAGTATCTTTTTCCTTTTTTCTTTTTTTTTCTCAAACTTGCGACGCGAGTATCCCTACTGTCATACGTGGAAGCATATATGTATGTATGTATTGTATGTATGTATATGTACAATTGGGCGCGGACCGATCCGTTATGCCGAGACCGAGAGGTGAAACACCCAAACACGTTTAGCAAAATGGTTTTATGATTGCGATGATTCACTGATACGTCATAGCGCGCTCAGTCTATGTCGAAGAAAAAGAAGAACGGACCTCCCTCTCCACCTATCCCTTTCTCTTTTCCTCGTTACAGTAAATTACCCAGTGTAAATACGATTATTCGTTAAACAGGCACATCGAGTTGGTTAAATATTTCTTTTTTTTTTCTTGTTTCTCGTACAACGTGTACAAACGTATTGATGCGTATACGAAAAGGGCAAATCGCTCAATTCTAAGATCAGGGGAGTAAACTGCGTAACTGTAAGAAACGAAGAAGAAGAAGAAGAACAAGAAGAAATGAAGAAATCTAGGGTTGCTTTTGCCGAAGCAAGTTCGGCATCGTTAGATTACGTCGATTCATCTGATGCCTCTCGATATAAAGGCACTCGAGAGATTTGCGAGGCTATCATGGACCCGATAGCCGTAACGGCCCTGCTCTATAAGTTAAATATAGTTAAATTGCAGCTGTATATCGTTTTGTCGCTTACTTATTGTATCGCGTAAAGGGCTCTCTTCTCAATGATACCGGTAACATGTTTAAAACTCCGTTACACCTACACTACTAATTGTATATCTTTATATATATTCTGTAATTTTCTCCTCTCTTTCTCTCGTCCTTTCTCTCTCTCTCTCTCTCATTCGCTTTTGCACGTTTCCACACTCTCGCTCTACGTGTAAAATATCTCTAATTAAACTCTGGACGTGAATCACTCTAAACAACATACCGCAATGAATCCCATATACGCCGAATATTACCGTTACAAACTTTCTATACATTTATATTAATAGAATTAGTGAAACAATGCCTATAAGCGTTATTCCATTAAATCACGAAATACATGTATTAGCAGTTGCGCATAACGACGCCGGTACCTGAAGAACGATGTACATGTGTATGTGTATGTGTGCGTACCGCGTCTATGATGCCGCCTGAGAACGATAAACTAGAGTGAAAACCATTCATGTGAGATGTTGAACTGTAGTTCGGAAAATGCAACAGGGAAGAACATGATTGAACGAGAAAAATATAATTGCAAAGTTTTATGAAAACTATTTATAAATAGAATCCTCCGTTCAACCCTCCATGTATCGTTATAACTACATATCTATATACGCGGAAAAGGAAATATGCGTAATATACGAGTTTGTGATATCCGCGAGAAATTCTTTATCGTAAGACCCATTAATGATACTTTATTGCTGTTTGGCATATATTTCTTTCACAGAATGCTTTTCTCTTTCTCTCTTCCTCTCAGCATTTAAAGAGAGATTACTCTACTCTGTACTCTGAAAACAGAAACTATCGCTTGCCCATTTCTTTTTTCGTTTTCTACTTTTCACTCTGATTTGTGCTTGATTCGTATATCTTCCCTTTACCGAAAATGCAAAGCGTTAATGGAAAAAAGAAATGTCAATGAGAGGTCGTTAAACTTATATACAATTTATAAATCTGTCAAAATTGTGGTTTCATAATTTTCGCGTTTCAAACCACAAGTATAAGGCATGCTGCCTGGAGTAGATTATTTACACAATTGAGAACAAAATATCAGGCAGAAGAACAACGATGGTTAGTAATGTTGATGACAATGGAAATGACAACGAGCATGATGGCGATGAAAATGACAAGATGAATGCAAAGACGATCTAAAGTAATGATATAAGAATAATAATAAATAATGAGACTGCTCCAAAAAAGGCACGTCAAAGCTTTTGTCGATTCGGATGTCGTGCAATCACCTTAATAAATTCGTGACACGATTATAGATCTCTTGCTTATTTCTGACGAATGCTCCTACATTTACGACAATCCCCGAATAATCCTACTCGAAGAAGTCCGGAATATGCGATACAACTAAATCATGTACGTATTTACGTATGTATGCGCGTGTATGTGTGTACATGTATGGATGGTGGCGTGTATTAACGTATACTTGAATAACATGCTACAAACTACAAAGAATAATGTGGCTACCTCGTTAGTCCTGAGTGCCCGTTATGAATAAAATACCGTAAAAGATTATAGAGCGCTACATCCCTTAGCGATATTCCTAATTGTAATAGAAAAACTTTCACGAGCAAGAACGAAAGGAACGAAGATCGGAGAGAAAACCTAAATTGGGTAAAAATGATTTTGTTAAGGAGCATTAAAACCAAGATACTCGCGCGCGATATGTCCTACGACATACCATAAAGAAATGCAGACTCATACGCATTTAAATTAAATCGTTACTACATATAAATCGCATATGAAGGATGTTCGTTTAATAATAGATCCACGCGCACGTGGATCGGCACTGCTACTACGTGCGTATCTCTCGTCTATCGTCGACATTAACGTTTCCGATCTGTTTAAGGCGCACATCGGTTCCATATATATGTATATATATGTATATATGTATGTACACTAGAGAGAGAGAAACCACATGTATGGGCGTTAAACAGATCGGGAGAGTTCGATAGAAAATTTTGGTCTGTACAATGTCCTTATAAACGCTATCGTTTCCGTAATAAAACATCGGTGTCTCTGGAAACTTACGAAATTTAAAGCATTGCCGCGTACACGTCGAGGATACGCGTGTATTCCCGAAATTGAAGAGACAAAAAAGAAACAAGTGTGCCGGATGACAAATCTCGTGAGAAATCAGTTCACGTACAATCGCGCGTCAAAGTAGGGACAGTCTTTCCCCTCGGTTCGCTTTTCCCCTTGTGAAATTGTCACGGTAAGACGATGGAATTGTTTCGGACACATAAGATACGTAACAAACATATACAAAGAGATCTAGTTACATTGACCGTGATCTCGTGTCTCGCATTCCTACGAGAGCGGTCGGAAGGGAGTGGTCGCTGCTTATATATAGGACGGATTGTCAGAATTTTTGCCTTAACGCACCCCTGCTCCCTGCTCATCTCGGCGAACTCGCTCGTTCGTGAGCGCGCGGCGTTATCGTGCTACCGATCGTGCGCGCGAATCGCGCAGCGGTTTCGGACGCTCCCTACCCGCTTCGCTTACTGGCCAGGTGCACGAAAACGGGGAAATTATGACACTTCTCTTTCTCCGTTAACGTTTTCGTCGATTACACGTTCGCTGATTGGCACACGGGCGGCTCGTAAGTTCCCAGAAGATCGTACAATTACTTGTTAGTTATTTCTTCGTACACAACTCTTATCCACGGCCCGACGGGAATAATTTATTCGGTAAACCATAAACCAGAAGGTTGGTATTGGTGTTTGGCTGGCGAAAGCGGGGCCAATCCATAAACGGCTGTAGGCTGCATATGCGCAGGCAACGGATGTGCTGCGTGACTCGCCAGTAACGGTCTGGCCGAGCTGTGATGAGCTGGCGGTGGCAACGCTCGACTAGAATCATACAACGTTAATGGAGACGAGCTGTAAAAAACGGGATAACGCACATTAGAAAGTCTCCATAAAGCTCTAAAAAAAGAAAATTATAAGTTTTTCTTTTCTTATAATATAGATTGTCGGATCCGCAAGCATGTATCTGAGGGTAAACTCAGGGAAACAATTAACTCTGACAAAATTCTACGTTCCAAGTTTTCTCTACCGGCAGGACCTCGATGTTTGTCATCGGATGAAAAAGTTGTCGATGAAATTTCGTTCGAGTAAAACACAACACGAGACAAATTCTTTACACTTGTTACAATCTTAAAATCTATTTCCTCATATTATTTTACATTACAATGAAGGAAAATATCCCACGTCGTAAGTCTGAATAAATGAGCGAAAAACTTTGATGTATTCGATACAACTTTCTGCCACGCGAGCACCTGTGATCAAGACTTAGTTTCTAAAAATCAAGCCGTACGACGCCTTTCGTGAAGTATACAAGACAAACATCGACTTCCTGCGAGTTTACGACTTTGACTTGTTAAACACATGCCACAAAACGTAACGTTTACGTCGAAAGGATCAACTCGCAAGTCTACTTCAGAGTCACAAATGATGTAAATTTAACGCTGGAACAGAGAGAGGATGGGTAGACGCCATGCATCAGCTAGTTCTCTAGTTACCCACCCGGGCGTGAATCCCTGATACGCGGGCACTTGTTGCTGCTGGATAGCGGTAGCAGCCTGCGATGGCGCCGCGGTAACGTACACAGGAGGCGGCACCGCGTGGGCTCTCGAGCGCACGTGAGCGTATTCCTGGTAGAGAGGCTGTCCCAAGTGCTGGGCGCTTCCTATCACGGGCCCCCCGACGGGACTCCTACCACCGCCGCTGCCGCCAGGACTTAGATGAGCGGCCGGATGCCCGTGATGGTTGTGGCTATGACCCGGATGGGGTGCCGTACCTACTACCTGGCTCTGCCTACAAAATGCAAAACAAAATCCATTCCTTCGATTATGCGGCCCACATGCTTCGTTTACTTACTGCAATACGTCTCTTTAACGACGAGATAGAAGAACTAACGGATTCGCAAACCTCCCTTCCAGTTCTCTCGTACGATCGGAAGAGGAAACGAACTAATAATTGTGGAAATTTTTCTTCTTTCGGATAGAGATTCGCATGCCGTTTACTTGCCTAGAATCGTGTTGGCTGCTCGCCACGCTCGACTCGCTCGTTTCTTTTTGACAAAAGCTCGCATGCACGTAACACGCTGATTACTCGACGAGAGCATGCTCCGCAGCTGTGTATCGTATCGCGAGAATCGTTCTAGAGCTCGGTCTCATGGTCACGGTACATGCCTCGATCAAAGACGCGGGCCGAGCATGCCGAGGAATATGATTCTCACCTATATTGCACGGGATTGGCCACCACCCACTTCTGATGATCTCTCGAGTGAGCAGCCGGTGGTTGAACGTACTCGTGCTTGTACTCGGCTCGCTTCCCAGGCCAGGACACTCGTTTGTCCGTGCCGGTTGTGTACACAATATGCTGCTCTTGGAGATGAGGATGCGCACTACTCGTGGTCACATACTGCAAGCAGGGGTCATATATGTCATAGACGTCATCCTAGAAAACATTAACCAAAGGGGGAATTACTAGAAAAGTATTTGAAAGAAAGAAACACCATCGTGGCTTTGCTCTCCTTCTTTCCTCGTTTAGTCGAGTGTTCTATAGAGTGTCAAGTGAATGAAATGGTTCAGTGATTTCTCAAAAGAAATAAAAATGTATAAACTTCAACTCGGACTGTATTTCAAGACCGAAAACTTTCGGGGCGCAGTTTGCATCGTTGAATGTATACGCAAACAAGTATTATCTAAAAAGATTCCTGATCGTATGCAGTTTCTATCACTTGTGTTATTTATTTTTTTGAGCAGTAAGTTGGTAATTTTTTAAAACTAACAATCAGATTCAAAAGGTAAAGAACAGATAAAATTAACGCTTTCGCGAAACTTGATAATTAACACAGTGAAAGTTAAATCAGAGAGTATTAGGTTTATTTTTTCTTCAGCAGTACTTATGTATCTGGAAGTAACAAGCGTTATTTTCGACTTTTTCGACCTGGTATAAAGAAATTGTACTGGCGGATAGAAATCTCAATCAACCTGATAGGTCGGTGGCTCTTTGCAAGCTGGCGCATGACACGGATGTGGAGCAAGGTACTCGACACCGGGTTCCAGCTTCGTCGCGACGTTCACCATGTTGCATTCGGACTGCACCTTCGCCAACAGCCGCTTCTTTTGTGACTGAGAGGAATACCCCGAGCTGCTGTAGCAAAGAATGATAGAGAAAGTTAGTCGAAAAGTTTATGAATCATGTACACTTCAGAAATTAATACAGGAATCATGAAGCAGAATAACAAATAATCGAGTATGACTCTGAGAAGCTATTGACGGACTCCTGTCACGTTAATCGACGTCATTATTAGGCGCTCACCTGCTAACGTGATGTTGTTGCTGCGGCTCGTGCTTAATTAACTGCGTGGTCTGCTGATGCTGCGGGTGTTGCGGCAGATATAAATGAGCATGCGAGCGGCTCGGGCTGGCTTCGCCGTCGCTGTCGCCAACGGTGACACAACTAATGACATTTTTGCGCTGCGTCCGATGCGACGACGAGCTGCTGTGCGTCGAGACATGCCCGCTCGTATGCTGCTGACTGCTCGCGTGCCCCGACTGCTGCATCGGCTGTACAACGCGCGGCGTCGATTGAGTGCTGCAAATTCAAGGAGAGAACTTGGTTTACTTAAAGTCATCGAGGCAGTCGTCGTCGCGTGCTTCAACCATTGGCAAGTTAACCGCCGCATCCATGAAATATCACATGCTGAGGGTGATTTGCAACGGTATTGTTTATCAAGTGACGTGGCTTTGTGTTAGTCGACAGTTGTGTCACACCAAGCTCCGCAACCAGATCCCTAAACAGCCCGTGTCTATCCCGTGATAAAACCAAGTTAATCAAATGGAGATCTTTGTAAATCAAGTATCTTCGAAAAATAACAATAGATTTCATGAAATGCACACTTTATATTAAAAATGTCATATAAATATATGACTTTCATGAATATACTAAACAATCGGAAGACCAAATTTTTCCAAAACTTGCAAAAAATTTACGTTAAATGGAAAATGATTCTGGATGACTCAATAGCAGAGTATCAAAATGAAAAAGGAGAAAATCAATCTTATTCTTCGTGTCATTCAATCTGTTAACCGCATATTCCCGACAAGTTTTAATGAATTATCGTTAATCACATAACACCGCCATATTACATTAATATACCTTCGTATGACTTCTTCACGGACAGGACGTCCGTCGCCCGACAGGCGAGTTGCCAAACTTTGACAGGCGCTGCACTGACGGTCTCCACAGCTGTCAACGATATCCATGCGTGATTCTACTACCAACTAATAATGCACTAACAGATACGCGTAACTTAACTGAATACTTTTTCCAAAAAGAATAATCTGTCAATATCTTGAAAAATTGTATTCTAAATATTTTCTCGGTTCGCCTATTGGAAAGATTGATTTGCAAATTTGGATACGATCTCGGCAAAAGCGAGCCCCAATGTCGTGGATACGAAAAAGAAATCTTACATCAGTTACATTTTATGTGTATACGAACAAACATTAGAGAATCATTACATGTACCTATAATATCTAAATTCGAACTCTACGAAATTATACTAGTTCCAATCTCTACTTGAAAAACTAAGGTCTAAAACTTACAAATAAATCCTAAACTACATCAAAGTTTTATTGCATACATTTTTAGTATACTAATTTATAATATACATATATGTATATACTGGGGATGTAGACGTTTGGCATAACACTCACCATTTTCCAGGTGCCTCATCTTCACTATCACTGATCGTGATAATCGAGACGGCTGGCGAAGGCGTGTCGTCAATCGTGATGGTCTGCTGTCGCACGGATGCGACTGGTTGATGTTCCACGTTATGACTACTACTGTGCTTGCTACTGTGATGATGAGACTGCACCGACTGCTCTTGCCAATGGTTGTTCAACGGCGAGGGCCGTCGCAGGATCATCGGCGGCGAGCTCTCCTTGACCCGTTTCTTCACCGGGCTCAGCTGTTGCGTCTCCTTCTTGTGTTCATGCCTGTGCTGAGTCTGCTGAGGTACCGTCACGTGATGCTGGTGATGTTTGGTGATGGTGCGCTTGCCCCAGCTCTGCGACGGATGCTCGACGAGTGCACTAGCATTGTAAACTTCCGCGACAGGAAATACCGGCCGCTGATCCTTCCCCAAAACAAGGGAGATTAGTTAAAAACTGTCATTAAGATTTTTCTACGCGTTTTGCAACGCGCGAAAGGAAGGATGCTTTATAGAGAACTCGGCGGTGTAAAAATTACAAAAGGCTAAACACTACACTCAAATGCTGATAAGTCTCATTGCTTCGCTAAATATTACGGGCAGTTTATTGGCAAATACTACCTGTAGAATAGCAGAACTATCGACGATGAGGGGCCTCCCCCAGTCTCCGGTATCGCTGAGCAGTGGTTGCTGAATGTGCTGCGGCGGTAATTGCTGCCACGACGGTACGATCGCAGCCATCTGACGGCTTCCACCAGGCCAAGATGTCTGTACAGCATTCTATGATGATCATAAAGGTACATCAACCATACCAGACCATTGTATGGTCGTCCCGAGGTGAACATTGTTCTACTTACGGTAAGCAACATTTGCCGGCCAGTCTCGACCATAGACACGGGAACTGCAGCATATTGTTGCTGGGCAGCTGCAGCCGCCGCGGCCACAGCCTGTTGCGATATAATGGACGATTGTATTTGCAGGGGTGCTTGTTGCGCTTGCGGTGGCTGCCGAATAAATTGCTGTTAATGATTAAATATTTCAATTAATGAACTAATTGCTCACACATGATAACCGTTCTTCTTACTTGAGCAACAACTACGTGCTTCGCAGGACTTGGCATAGTCTGGTAGCCATGCGGTGGACACAATATGCCGGGCACCAACTGATGCGGAAAATCGTGCACGCCACTTCGTCCGCTGTTGGATCCGCTGGATGAACCGCTATATTGTGTCGCCCGTCGACTGCTGTTGCTATATATTTGGTACTGAAATTGAAAAATTAATTAAATAGAGCCAATCATTTTTATATAATATTATATGAGGAAAAAAATAAAAATCAATGTAAGTGACTCCGTGTAAAATCTGCCGACTGCGTCGTCGGATGTCGAATTCGATTCGCGAGCTTCGTTCCATGTATGTCTCAACTCATGAGGGATTGATCGCAGAGTTAAAAGTTTTGAGTAAAAATGTACGAGATTGTGATCCGTTTCGGGAATTATAAACTAATAAATGCGCGCGTACGTAACAAGATAAAGGGTTATATAAACATACCAGACTGTCGTATCCTGTTTGCGCGGTACGATGCTCCCTGACTAATCGCTGCACTTGATTAGACAATTGATTGTTGAAGGTGAGAGTCACCGCGCTGCCGTTAGTGGTCGGTACAAAATTGGCTACTAAAGACGTTGGTGGAGGTGGCTGAGGCGCCGGCGGAGCCTGATGATGCGCAGGACTCGATGTAAAGTCTCCCGCGCGCCTGCAAACCTCCATCATCTGGACGGAAGCTTTGACGTTGTTACAATGCGCGTAATCAATTAGATGTGCCAGAGTAACAAACGCGTGGTTCAGTGCCTCGCCGGGTGTTATACGGCGCTCCTTTAACCCAAGTTGACATGTGAGAAAAACACTGTGCTGCAGGCGACTGAAATCTCCTTCTCCGATAATTAAAGAGCATCAATTAGATATTACTACCTGGTCCATTGTAAGCATCCTCTTCAAGAGGTCAATGAACTCTCGCCTGTCCGCTTTCTCGGGCAAGAGTTGACCGCCGTCCAAGTCAGTCGGTACATTAACCTGACCGATATCGTCAAGGCAATTAAAAATATATTTTCTCGCTTCCTTGGATTTGATACCAGTCTCTGCCTCGTGCTCTTCCGGTGTCTTTAATCGCCAAAATGGATATGTGCCTGAAAACACACGTGGAATTTGTAAAATGGGCGATCGTTACTTGCATCACAGTTTCGCATCAAGATACGCACTGTCCACGTCCCGGTAAAAGAATTTTGTTGTTTTGCTGGCGTTGTTCAGCATGTGCTCCGTCGGTAGGCCCTGCGTTTGACTTATATATCGAATCTGATCGTACTCGGAGCTGCCCGGGTATAAAGGCCATCCCAGAAACAATTCTGCGACCACGCAGCCAAGCGACCACATATCTATCGCTTCACAATACGGAAGTCCCAGTATGATCTCGGGTGCGCGGTAGTAACGCGATTGTAGATAGGTGTTACAGACGGCTTTGGACACGTGCGAGGCCGATCCGAAATCGATGACTTTCACTCGATAGGGCTGACGCATTGGATCCACCAGCATAATGTTCTCCGGTTTCAAATCGGCGTGTATCAATCCTAATTGCTGCAAAGATAAAGGCGTTTGCGCACGTGAGTTGTCAACGTCGAGTCCCAATTACCAAGTGACACACGCGCACTTGGCGCGCGATACTACGGCGATGCTGTACCTTCAGTTTCAATAGCGCGGTCAATACTTGCTGGAGAATGGGCCTGATGTACTTGAGAGGTAGGGGTGAGAATTTATTCTGCTTCAAGAAATCGTAGAGGTTCTGCTCCAGCATTTCGAATACCAAACAGGTATGTGACTTGTGCTGGAAGCACTCGTAGGCGCGCACGAAATTGAACTCGTCCGCATTTTCCTGACTAAGTCGAGACAGGATGGAGACCTGTGCAGAGTACAGTTATTTAAACGTCGACGAATCGCTCGGTGTAACACAGAATATAATCCCGTTGACGTTCACAAACATTTCGCGTCTCCTTTTACCATTAATACCGCAATGCTTACCTCAATCTGACCTTGGCGCGCGTACGATGGATGGTTCTTTAGAATTTTGATGGCTACTATGTCGCTCGTCCCTTTCTTCCAACATTTTACGACCTGCGGAAGGAATCAATTTTTACAGCTGCCCGCCCTTGCGGTTTTTAAAAGACAAGGTCGGCCGTTCTTACCTGCCCGAAAGTACCTCTGCCGAGAAACTCGAGGACCTCATACTGATTGGTCATGGAGTAGAGGACTTCGTGCTGCACCAAATGGTAGTCCCCGTCGCCCTGGGGATTGCTGCTACCGCCGCCGTTGGCCGCGTTGGCCACTTGCTTGCTATGCGCCGTCATGCTCGTCTGCTTGCTGCTGTGCTGTTGCTGCTGTTGTTGCGACAGCTGCTGTTGGGTATGGTGCGGCGGCCCTACAGTGCTAACCACCGTAGTCGGGTTGGAGGAGTGGACTGCCGAGTTGTCACCATTACCTTCCTCCGGCCAAAGCTTTCTCTGTAAGAGGAATAGACCTTATACAAAAACATTTCGGCGTTAAGAGATCGCCGTCGGCGGTGGATCGCGGGGGAAGGCGACACCGAAGCTCTGGAGTGTAACTGGGAGGAAACGGGGCGAAACGACAGCGGAGATGGACTCCTCTGTATCTCCGGGGAGTGCAAGAGTGTCGAGCGTACTGCCTGCGACGGACAGTCCCGGAGACCTTCCGCGTCGGCATCGACGCGACGGAGAGAGCCTTCGCTCGTCATCGATCGCGTGATTCGCATTCGCGCGCCGTTGGGGATCAATTAACGGAACACGTGCCCGAGTGAAACGTAGAGACGTAGCGTGAGCGTAAAGCCCGTATCAGACTACAGACTCCCGACTCTGACTCGACTAATGACTTGGACTCCCGACTATGATTCAACCAAACCCTGACTGCCGACTCGGGAATAGACGCCACTCTAATTTGTTGAATCACAGTCGGGAGTCCGAGTCAGTAGTCGAGTCAGAGTCGGGAGTCTGTAGTCTGATACGGGCTTTACGCCGCGTTGAAAAATGCGCGTCAAATTTAGCAGATGTCAAACGGTCCACACGAATTTTTCTGCTAATTTAACATAATGTGCCGACACTGATACCGCGTTAATGTTTCGACATAAAATAAACGCAAACTCCAAAGCCATTTGAAATAAATTTTGTGTAGGATCGACGTATTTTTAGTGATAAAATTGAGTGAAAAGAAAATTAATTTCACATTTTACCGTGGAATAAAATTAATATTTTTTCCCTGTAAATTTTAACAGATAAATCCTGTCACTAATAATACGAAACGTATCTATTGTGCAGAGGTGAAAATTAGTTGCACATTGTGTTAACTTTGTACATTCATTCTCAGTTGTTTTAGGTCCAGTTTCACAAACGTCGGTTAACTGTTAACCAGAGTTCAGTCATCTTCCTATCTTTCTCTATCTTGTTATCCAAGAAGAGACAGAGGATCAATTAACCATGGGTTAGCGGTTAAACGACGTTTGTGAAACTGGCCCTTAATGATTTAACACTCGAGTTCAATTAGCACAGCAGCAATATGTATGTTAACACATGAATGCGTGGAATATTGAACACAAAAATTTTCACCGGCATACTTTTCGAACAAGAGGACACCAGTTTTGCGATTGTGTATGTGTCGCGTTTCACGCGAATCCGCGCTCTCTCTCCCGATCGTCCCTCGCGGGTCGCCGGTCCTCGGCGACGGCGCGCATGGTCGCGCGGCGGTCGGTTCCGCGAACCCGGCGGGTGGCGGGAATCGCGCGCGACTCCGCGGTCCCGGCGTCCCGCGATATCCGCGCGAGGCGACGCGACGGCCGCGCCGGTATGAAATATGTAATGGGAGCCTTGAAAGCGCGCAATCGATAGTTAACTACGCCATACGGAAACGTTATCTACGCCGTCGACTACGCGCGCCCGCGACGATAGAGCCTCGAAGCGGCTCCGTAATCATCCTCACCTCGGAAACACGTGCGCGGCTTGGACGTACACGTGTGCGCCCGCGTGCGGGTGCGACGTGCGACCTAGGCCTTTTGCAGAAGTCTCTGTATAATAGTAAAGTCCCCCCATTATGAGACCGGCTCCAGATATGAGAGACAGCGGGTTTCTGTTAAATTAATAAGCATCGTCTGTTGGTTCCA